TGCAAACCGTTTTCAAATTAGCTCTAATATTCTTTGAATAAAAGGAACTTTATTCTTCTACTCCGAACCTCGTCTCTGAATTTCTTTCAAGGAATTCTACAAACACTCCTCTGCCACCCCCTTGCCTCTTAGCGTCCCCCTAAGTCATCCCACCTCCCCCCAGGGGACGGTACCACCCACTTTGGGAGCCACTGAGTTAGACTTTGACTAACTCACTTAGATTAACTTTATTGTCACTTTGAATGTACACTAATCAGCATACCTTAAAATAAAATTTCATTGCATACAGCTCTCGAAGGGTAGCTCTCAAAGGTAACCTGCAGACTCCAGGCTAAGAGCGAGAACAGCAGCCAGTGGTCAGTGAAAATGAGAAGGTGAAGTCCACCCTCCCCCATTTCCAAGGGCAAATAGGACTGGGATGCAACAGGAACCAATGGCTGTATCAGCATTAACTGTTTAAGCTTGCCCAAAGAGAAGGTGTTGCTGGAAGAACATATCTGGTTGCCTTGCTTCGTATTCCTGTTTTCTGTCTTTCTTGTCTTTGGACTCATTTGTGGACCTTGGATTGATGCCTGGACCTTGTGCCTTGCCTTGTGGATTACTCCTAGCCTCGGACTCTTGCCTTGCTGTGTGTAGTTATTCTAGCTGGTGCCTAAGTTCGGTAATTTAATCTGCTCTTCTTGTCTGGTTCTCAGACCCTCCGGTGGAACTAAAAGTGGGTGTGAATTTTGGTGATGCTAAAACTGCTGGTGACTTAATAATTGGGCATGGGCAGCTCAAGAAAGACCTTTAAGTCACTGTGGTGTGATCCATGTGTGAACAGCACAGCACAAATATAGTCATAGCTTGATAACAGCATAATGCATCATCCCTGAAGTAGAAACATGGTAGGTCCCTCAGATTCTGTATTTGAGTAATAAGAAAGAGACATGCTAAGAGCTACTCTGGAAGGATTTAAGGGCAAACTATTAGACTGTAGAAGTAGCATATGCAAAAGGAGTACCGGTAGTCTTCTAGATCATATGTTGATTGTTTCATGTATTAACTGCCTTCTGCAATAGCCAAACTGCAGAACTATGAGTTTTACTGCTTTGAACTCAAATCTTCACTGTTCCTATTATTTTCGTTCTCAAAGTGGGAACTTTTGAAAAGTTACTGAAATTTCATTGCAGACAAAGGACTCAGAACATTAAAACAACATCTTTTTTTGAAACTACATGGTATGTATCAGAAGAAGCAGGATGATCGTTAGATTTTCTGCAAGAGGACACAAAAATTAAATTCATATTTACATATGCCATTTAAAGAAGTTTCTAAAAATAATTTCCTTTAGTTTTGTTAATTAACAAGCAAAAACAATGCTGACTCATGTTACATTCTGTAAGATAAATGAAAATTCATCTTAGTTAGGAAAAGCCAGCTCTGGAAACAAAAGCATTTTAGATTAATAGCTGCAGAATATTTGACGTAAAATGAATTGTTCTATAAGCATCACAACAGATGTATTGTATAAAAAAGTAGCATAATGAATGTTTTAGGCAATTGCTCTTGAATCACAAATCAGCATCTCTTTTGTATCCATCGGGAAGCTGTGTGGTTTCAATGCTAAAATCTCATAAGTCAAGGTCTTCAGACAAAACTAAGCTTTGTCTACATCTAGCACTGAAGCTAACAGATTTATGGCAGTGATTAGAAGGATGGGGGTATAATATTTAGAGAATCCTTGGCATAGTAATACTTATGTAGCATATGCCTTCAGAATTATATAACAGTAGAGCATTTATGCAATTTCAAGAACTATAGTTTGGAACTATGACATGTCTCTTACAGAATGCATGCACANAGAAAAAGAAAGAAAAAGAAGAAAAAAGAAAGAAAGAGGAAGGGAAAAATGAGACAAGAAAGGAAGGAAGGAAGGAAGGAAGGAAGGAAGGAAGGAAGGAAGGAAGGAGAAAGAAAGGCAAAGAAAGAAAATGGAAGGAAAGAAAGAAAGGAAGACAACTCATGACCACAATAGAGCCCAAAATTTTGGTTGCTAAGCAAATGCGTTGTTAAGTGAGTTTTACCACATTTTACAAGTTGGCCACACCCACCGTCACATGACTACCAAGCCATGCCCACAAAATAGGCCACACCCACAGAATAGGTAGTAAAAAAAATTGAAACCCACCCCTGGAACATTGGGATCTGAGGGGAAGGATACAGCTACCTATGCTGAGGATATTCTGCCTCATATTCTTAAAATTGGTTCCAGTAGTCTATGGAGATTCTCAGTCATCCAAGTCATAGTTGTCCCAAAAGTGCTTTTTCAAAAGGCAACTGGACTTTCTTTGTTTTTTCCTTGAAGACATTTCACTTCTCATCCAAGAAGCTGCTTCAATTCTGACTGAGTGATGGAGAATGGAAGGATTTATAATCCTTGCAGCCATCTTGTCATTAGCATTTTGAAGGTCAGTCATTATCTCTCTAAGAGTAATTGAGGCCATTGGAGGCCCTCAGGGTCAGCTGAATCAGAGGGCAAATGTGTCTGGAACTTTCTTGGAGTGACATCATTAAGTCAGAACTGAAGAAGCTTCTTGGATAAGAAGCAAAATGTCTTCAAAGAAAAAACAAAGGAAGTCCAGCTGTCTTTTCAAAAAGCATCTTTGGTTCCAGTAGTGGTGGCAGGAAAAGAAAATCAAGCTTAAGGGATTTCAATAGTATTATTTAAGGACTACATAAAGCCATGGGAGGAATCTCAAGCAGGCTCAGGTATTATCAGCATGCATATTGAGCATAACTTTATACATTAAATTGAGTTCAAGAGGTGATATTGCTATCCTGATGCCTGGAGGCTAGAAGATGTCAAAAGTTTTAATCTAAGCAAGATGAAGTAACTACCTTAGGAAGCCATCTGATTCCATGGTGGGGGGCAATAGTCTTTTTTAGTTCAAGATATTTCATAATCTGGGGATCACTCTCCACAAGGAACATATGGCACCCTGTGGCTAGTAAATCCTTTCCACAATGTCATTTTGTGTGTTAAGTTTCAGCCTCTTTTGGAACAGGAGATTCTTACAGTCACTCATGTATGCCTTAAAAATCTTTTGGGTGAGCTATTGTAACAAACTGTACATTGGACTGTCTTTGATAATCACTGAGAAGATATAGCTAGCCAAAAATGTAAAAAGTTATGGGTGCATCTAATTTTGTCCATACAACACCATTACTTTGAGAGCTGCACTTCAGTGGGTTTATTCAACTTAATGGTTCTCCTCATCTACATCCCTATACAGCTTATGACCTGGGTATCTTCAAAAATGCCCACTCCAATAACTGCCTCACCAATGAGAACTGATGCCACCCTTTTGTGGAACAGTATTCCCCTTTCTCAAGACATTAAAATGGCCCCAACCATGAACACATAGCTGTTCTTGCAGGTCTTAGGAATTGGAATATTGCACTACAAGAATATTCTCTTGTAATAATGTGTTTACTTACTTAATGATATTTATATCCTTTGGGCTATAGCTGTTGCTGCATATGTTACAGCTTTTATTTTTACTTTATAATTTTCACTTGGTTTAGGAATATGTGTGCTTCTGTGTACTGCTCAGGCAGTGGAGGAAAGAGTACAACAGATAAATTAAGTTGATATCATGCATTTAGGCATTTCTCATATTTGTAATAGGCAGAATAATTCTACTAAAGGCTAGGCAGACTGAACTTTTGCTATTAGGAAATTAAACATAAAAGTACCAAAGGAAGTCTAATAAGCTTAAATAAAGTATCATCTTACTTTTGCAATGTGGAAGTCCTCTATCCCAGTCAACTTTTCCAAACCTCAAAACACACCGTACAGTGGAAGAACCTCTCATTCTATATCTAAAAATATTTTTAGTAAATAAATTATTAAAACTATACAGATTATTTAACCATGGAGCATTCAATTTCAATGTCTAAAATAAGCCATAACAGGCTGGAATCACACAACATGATGATTCCAATCAAAACCAATTATATTATGATGTATTGAAATGTAAGACACCAATCATTATAATACGCTGGTCCATATTTGCCTAGTAAGAATCTCTAGAAGCATATCATGAGAACTTGATAGCTGCTGTATTCAAGAAATGCTAATCTTCAAGTCAGTATCACTTCACACCACCACCACCACCACCCTGGCCACTCTAGTTCTGCTCTCTCTCCCTATTCCACAATCAGATACTGAGATTTAGGAAGTCACATATATAAAGAACCGTGACCCGACAAAAGCGCGAACGTCAAAAGCGCGCCGACAAAAGCGCGGCGCTAAAACCACGATGTCAAAAGCGCGCTGACAACAGCGCGCCGACAGAAGCGCGCCGACAGAAGTGCGATTTAAGTTAAGGCAAAGTTTAGGGTTAGGTTTAGGGTTAGGTTTAGGGTTAGGGTTAGGTTACAGCGCGCTTCTGTTGGCACGCTGTTGTCGGCACGCTTCAGCACTCATTCGTCAGCGCGGTTTTGTCGGCACGGTTTTGTCACCGCGGTTTAGTCAGGCGCGCTTTTGTCATTTGCGCATTTGTGGTGGAACTATAAAGAACGTCTGAAGTTGCCAGCACAGTAGAAAACTTCTCTATCTATCCCAGTTTCAAAACTTAAAATTGGACCTTATTCCTTTCACTTGTTTAAGCCAGTGATGTGCACCTGTTCTTTTTGGTTTTACAATAATTATTGTCTCTCCATTCCTTTACCAAATAGCTATTTTCAGCAACAGAATCAAGGACTCCCACTTCACTAATTTCAACCATTACATCAGAATACTACTGAGTTATATGTTAAGAGTGCCTTAAATACTTTCATCAGTCAAACTGTTTTAATTTTAAGTTACTTTTGCAAGGTTTGTATCTTAACAAAGAAATACAAATAGTTATAACATCTAGTTGACAATTGAGATTTTAAATTATCAATATTTACAAGTTACTTCAACAAATGTTTTCTAACTTACCCATGATTGCAAGAAAGGGTTATTTGATCTCCGAGCAAGAAGCCATCTCCAGATTCTATGTTGCCATTTTCTATGTGTGGAGTAGGACAATTTCTTCCTAAAAGAGTGATATGGAGTTATTATCATGTTTCTTACAAAAAAATAAACACAGAAGTCTAGGAAATTCTATTAGTCAAGTTTTATATTTCTCCATTTTGATTGTATTGTATAATTTGTTTTGCCAGGCAGAGTTGCTTGATAAGCTATTCCCAGCTGTCTATGCATATCTGTTCATTTCAGAGGCTGTTCATGCACTTATATGTGAAAACGGTCTAAAGTAGTTTATGAAGCAACTGCATGGATTGGAAAAAGAGCCAGGTGTTCTACTGAGTCAAAATCTTTTAAACATTCTCTGTGTATATAAAAGCTAAATTCTTCTGAAAGGTCTTGTGTTATTACAATTATATATGCATAATATAGAACTATGACAAATTAAACAACATGCTTAAAAAGAAAACAAACTAAACTAACTAAAAACTTTTAAACAGAAAACAAAACCTGCAACTGTTCAACTTTCAAAATTCCATTGCTCTTCTATAATTTCAAACTTTTATTATTAATTTTTTGTAATATAAATTATTTTTAAATTGTTAAACAATGACCTGAGTCTAGGCTGCACAAAGTTATATTCTTCAAATTTGCCTCTCCTTTGACATAAAGCTAATTCAAAGGTCAAGTATTAAAAAATGCCATTAAGCCAATTTCTAATGTATAAACTTCCTTCCATGACTAATCACCTTCTTTTTTTTGCTAAAGTCAAAGCACAATATAAAGACTAAGTTCCTAATTTGGATAATATAGGTTTATACCCTATTGAACACTTTTCATTNTAATACTTATGTAGCATATGCCTTCAGAATTATATAACAGTAGAGCATTTATGCAATTTCAAGAACTATAGTTTGGAACTATGACATGTCTCTTACAGAATGCATGCACACCCCCCCCCCCCAATTAAGTAGTCCGTGTCCATTTCTATCAATCATTAAATATAATACCAGTTACTCAACCTGTCAATACTTACCAATAGTAATTCCAATTGTTTTGCCAGATCCTATAAGTGAACCAAAGGAAAAATGAGCAAAAACTATATATGATTACATCTTTTTTGCCAATTCTCCATATCTTTCCAATGTTGAAAACTACTAATTTCTATTACAATATGAGACTCATTTACGTAAATAGTCCTTTTGTTTTCAATTTTTAAGGACCTCTATAATTCTATAACTTCATTTTATTTTTCAATTCCTTCATTCTTTCTTCATAGATTTTCTTTGTATTCTGATTCCAATTCCCCCCCGCTCTCTCTCTGATTAAACCACATCAAAATATTTTTATTTTATTAATGGTTACTCTTGTGTTTATATAAAATTATATAACAGTCCATAGTTTTAAGCCATTCTCTAGCTTACCTACAAGAAGAAAAGGATGGAAGCAGTTAGAAAATGCAAAAAACGTGTCTTTGCTCCAAGGTCAAATCATCTGACTCCTGAAATAGGACTATGATTAGCAGTCCAATCATGTGATGACTCACCTTCAGTCTTACCTTCTTCTGAGGGGTTAGGGGAAAGAGCAAATGGGGAAGATCTGGTTGGTTTGGTAGTAGTCATGACTACACCTAGCCAAAAAGAGAAGGGGAAATGTTAATGTAGCTTTCTCCAGATCCAGGACGCCCAACTTTAAAGTTGACATCTTTAATATTCAGCACTGATGTTCATTAAAGGTTTAAGAAAAAATAAATACTTACTCTTAACACAGCGCGGAACAGGAGGATTCCATTCACTATTAGCATCACATTGAACACTTGGTGACCCTACCATAGTGTAGCCAAAATCGCACTTGAACGATATCATAGTCTGATACTCATATGTATTCCTACGATCAAACCAATCTCGCCTTATCCCATTTTGGATGTTTGGTTTATGACACTTGACTTCTGGAAAAGAAGGCAAGATTTACTTTGAAAGTCTTTGCACCAAATAAGCAGATGTCCTGGTGGTCAGTAGGGGGGCAAATGAGAAAATATGAATTAAGTTATTGTTACACAAATATTCTATCACATAATGGGAAACAAGTACATAATTGGGACATGTATGTAATGACATAATCATTTGAATTAATGATGATTTGCTGCCAATATTAGAAATATTAAACTTGGAAACCATTATTTGCTTAGTTTTGCCAAAAAGATCATCTAATTATGGCTGCACCTTGTTTGCAAATGTTGCACAGAAGATTAAATGTACACAAAGTTAATTACCTGCAGCCTTAAATAACTGAGCCAAATATATAATTTTGATTATAAAATTGTAATACTGATAGACAGTATAATTTAGTGTTTTAGAATAAGTTCAAGGGGTTCACTATAAGTCACAGAAGCTCACTGAGTGACTTTGGACCAGAAACTCACTTTCAGAATAATGAGAAAGAGATATGGGTAGCAGTAGTTACATGTTCTGTTTCAAAACTGGAGACCTTCTAAAGGAGGCTAAAGGGGGCTTTAACCCAAAATATTTAATTACAACAGAGATGATAGAAAGAATGAGTGATGAACTTCTCAGAAAAGCAGATGATGCTTGCAGAATAAAGCCATTACATGTAACCATAAGAACAGGTAGTATTCTGCCGGTTCGCCCCAGTTTGGGCGAACTGGTAGTGGTGGTGGCGGGGGGCTCCACTCACCCACCCAGATGTCATCACAGATGCGCTGGTGCTCCTGGTTCCGAGTGGTAGGTGAACATAAGAGGAATCCATTACTGCAGAAGATACCTACTAGATAACGAAGGCCAAGGAGATATTTTCAATGGATACTTATGCTTTGAGAGAATGAGAAACAGTTGTTTGTAAAGATTCCACTTATAATTTTAAATAAAAGTAAAAATGACTAACTGGAAGGAATTGTTTTTATTAGTAAGAATCAATCAATGTCAGTTGATCCTGGCCAGATCAGAGACAATAGCTGTAATGGGTTTATGGGAAATTAGAAGCCGCTTTGAATTTTAACTTTGTTTTTGGGATTAGCTGTTAACCATTTTTTAAAATAGTAAATAGATATAGGTCAAATTGGTTGATTGGCAATAAATTTCTATATTTGTGATTTTTTAACATTATATAGCAATTTTTCAAATATAGATATAGCAGTTCATAAAATGTGGAGATGTTTTTGCAAGGGAGAGGAATAATGACTTGCTGAAATATATTTATCAGTATTCAAAAAGGGGGTACATCTTATGTTTGCTATTTTGTTCTATACATTTTTGTTCTTGTTTTTTAATTATTTTCCTTTTTAGATTTTGTATTTTGACTTTGGATATAAGTAAAAAAAGTAAAAAGAAAAAATAAAAGAACCATTTGAGATATCAAATAAGCAGTATAAAAATTTAGGAGCATATGTCTTATTTACAACATTTTGGCAGCTGCTGCAAATTGCTGGCTCATATTTAAATGGTTGTCCACTAGGATTCCAAGATCCCTCTCACAGTTACTACTATTGAGCAAGGTACCACCTATAATGTACCTGTGCATTTTGTTTTTCTTGCCTAAATGCAGAACCTTACTTTTTTCACCATTGAATTTCATTTTATTACATAGTGTCCAATGTTCAAGTTTGTCAAAATCCGTTTGTCAAAATCCG